ATTCATAATTACAGAAAAAAAGAAATTAATAAATAGAAAGAATAACACCCGTATGAAAGTTCTTGAAATCTGAAATTTTGAATAAAACCCTGAAAACCCCTTTGGATCCTTGTGAAATCGGCTTCAAGTTCGTGTTCCTTGCCTCCAAAAGTTGTATTCTTCTTCTTCCTGGACGTTCTGCCCTACTTCTAATGAATTTTGGCTTTTATATCATGTCCTCACGGAGCCCCGAAAGAGTTTCAATTAAAAACGGAAGTTCAGATTTTTTTTCCAAATTAAGGCCATGCAGCCGCATGGTGTTAAACCATGCGACCACATGGTTCAATTTTCTTGCTCAATTAAAAGCCTGCAACACCATATGCAGCCGCATGGTATAGTTACATGCGGCCGCAAGGTTGTAAAGTTACAACCTTGTCATTTTGGTCCCTGAACTCCATTTTCTCTTTTCTTGATCTCTTTTCTTTGTTTCCTTTGTTCCATTATCACATATTGACTCCTAATTGATGTTTGGGTCAATCAATTCCTTGATCATTTGCTCGGCTCATCTTTTGATTAATTGCAATTTAGTCCTTCATCTTTCACTTTTCTTCAATTCAGTCCAATGTTACTTCTTTCTTCTTCCAATCGTCTTGTATCGTTTTCAATCTCATACTTGGTATATTTTCATTCTAATTCTGCACTTTAGCTCAACTTTACAATATTTGTACCTTTGGTCCCCGAACTATCGTTTTGTTTCATTTTGGTCCTTTTCGGCTCTTTTCTTCTGAATTCCATCTTTTCCATGGGAACACCTACATTGCAAGAATTTAACAAGATTAAGTCACAATTCAACTATTTTATCCATGTTTAAGTCATGTTTGTGAGCTAAATAAGTGTGTAAAAACACACTTATCAATCATCATTGGATGAAGAGATGAAATTGGAGTCGGAGGTGCCATCGAACCCGTTTGAAAAATTGCCTATTTTAATTGGTAAGAATGTTGATTTTATGGATTTTACAATTAAAGCTCCTGCAGTTCATACTGAAGAGTGCTTTAAAAATATAGGATGGGTATCCGTGGCTACTATGGAAGAGCATGCATACCCACGCCATATAAAAGATTTTTATCAAAAAATGCATGTTGTACCTCGTTCTGACAAGATTACATGTTTACTTAAAAATGTGCGCATTATGATTTCAAAGGCATTGATTCGTGAAATTCTCGAACTTGAGCCTGATAACTTGGAAGTATTTTTGCATAAATCTCCACCTACTGTGGAAGGTTACAATCCTTTCGAGGCTTATCACCGAGTCACCGAAAAAGACTTCGAGAATATCACTAAATTAAGTGTACATCAATTAACTCTTCCATGTAAAGTTTTGCAAAATATAATTGCCTATGTTATTTTTCCCCTTAAAGGACATCAAGATGAAGTTAATTACTTCGATCTCTTCATTTTGGATTCGCTTGTCGTTGGGGGTCGAATTGATTTTCCTACCATTGCAATGGGCCTTATGAAACTCGTGCATGCATCACGACACACTAAAGTCTTGCCTTATGGGATGCTTCTTACAAAATTTTTTAAACATTTTAACGTTTCACTTGATGGAGAGGATTTTGTTAAGTTACGCCCCACTGGTACTATCAACATCTAAATGTTAAAACGGATGAAGATAGTAAAAGAACAAGGGCAATGGGTGGCACACACAAAAGGTTTCGATCTCACCTCTGGACCATCTACTCTCCCATTTGAAGAAGAAGCTGAAGAGAACTCAAGAGCGAGCCTGATGTTCCTGTTCCTGCATCTGATGTTCTCGGCTCGAGTACACCTCATTCTTCCAGAGGTCATTTTGCATTTATCGAGGAGCAATATAATCTCATTCATGGACGAATTGATTCGCTTACCTCAACGTTCGATAGCATGGGTAGCTTACTACTACGGATTCAAGCTCAGCAGACTGCTATCTATGACCGATAGCTTGAGACGTAGGCCCAGTAGGTTGCATTCTTTGCAAATTTCTATGCTCGATTCCATCTCCACCATCGCTTCCGGCCCCCTAGTTTATTTCCTTAACGTATTCTATTCTACTAGATGATTTATTGTTAGCATTTACATTTCGGTTATCGAACTCTTATGTTGTTTGACTACTTAGACTATTTTACATTGAATGGTTGACTTCTTCTATGTCAATCTCTCATTATGCTGTGTGTCTTATTATTTCTTTTTGCTTATGCCAAAAAGGGGAAGATAAATACAAAAAGGGGGAACATTGTAAGGGAGAAGTTTTAAATTTTCATATGCATGTTGATAGGGGAAACTTAAGTAAAATCGATAGAGGGAACATTACGTGTAGTAGTCAATATTTTCATTCGTTGTTATTTTGTGTGAATTCAATTTGTTTAATATTTGTATTTTAAATAATCTTGTTTGATATAATCAAAAAGGGGAAAAATTTTGAACTAATGGCTGACATCTCGTTTTGATTATCACAAACAAATTGCATTTAATTTTAACAAATTAAATTTTAGTGTCGTTGGTAATTATTGAAGAATTAAAACACGAGAATCGAGATCAAGACTCATGCACATGGACGAACAACCTTGGCGCCAAACGATCAATTCATGAGCAAGATTGAAGATTGACAAACATGGAAATGGAAATTGAGTCTCCGCATCAAATATTGCATTGGAAGAAAAGATTGAAGACCTTAGAGATAGATGCATTTTTTGTACTCAAAACTAAAGGTATAACTCTACAATATTTCACATCGACTATAGCTCATACGATTTTTATGCACGACACTTTTTCACGACAAACTATACTTGCATAAAAATTATTTTCAAAAGATAAGTATTCGATTTTCGTTATTAAATCTCTACATAAATACTTATCCATACAAAATAAATAACAATATCCTTCAAACACCTTAAAGAAAATTCATTACGAAGGAGAAAAATTAGGAGGGGCAAAAATCTGCCCATTCGAACGTCTAGATGGGACTGTCCGGACGTCCGGATGGTTCCAACGGTTCAAATTTATGATCGTGTTTCAAACGGCTAATTACCCATTTGGATCCCGTGTCCAAATTGACAGATTTTTTGACCGTTTGATAATATAAATTCCCCTCTACCTCATTTGCAACAACCATTATTGAGCATTTAAGAGAATTATTTATTGATCTTTTCCACCTTGTTTCCAATCTTTAAAATATCAAATAATTTATTTTTTGAAAAACTTTTTGAGTAATCGAACTTTGGAAAAATCATATATCTAAATTAAAGTTTTCATACAACACTTGAAAGCTATATTCTTTGTGAGTTGTTGAAGTGTTGAACCTACTTCTCTCTTGATTCTTAATTAAGTTCATATCATTAATTAAGAGAGAAACTTTTAATTGTAATTTCATTTTTTGTTTTCGGATTGTAGGTTGGTTGAGGTCTTGGAAAGGTCAACGGTGTAAAAGGATTGGTGCTGAACCAGACTAGAACCTTCGATTCTAATTCGGTTTTGATTTAGAAGATTCGGTTCTGATTAAAATGTCCAGGCTTAGGAAAAATGTTGAGCATCAAGAATATTATAATATACAGTGTTTTTTGAGAGAGAATATTTAATTGAAGTCACATTCTGTTAAATCTGGTAACTAACATGGCAGTTTATTCACATTAATCTTTTTTTTTTAAATCAAATTAGTAAAAATTCTTACCAAATCCCTGCTTTTTCCAATTTGGACAATTTCGACTGATTTATCAAATTTTAAAAGTAAAACTTTGTAGTTAGCAATTTTCTCTTGATTATGGTGACTATTTGTATGGTTGATTAGCATAATTTAAAATGGTACTGAGAATTCGGCTCAAGCCCAAATCATCGAAGATTGTTCGATTTGTGTTGGTTTGAATTGGTTTGATTTGGATTGAATTGATATATTGAAAAATTGAGATGATCAGTTTGGTTACAGGTTCATTTCACAAACTTGAACCATGCTCAACCCTATTTGGAACCATCTATGCATTTTCAACAAACTTTAAGTCTATTTAGACATTCAGCACCTGCTTGACAACAATTAAAACAAAACTCTTTTTTTTTTTCCTTAAACTTATTTCCATCTACACATTCTTACAATAAAATATTCTGCACATAAATTCAAAATTTTTTCCCACTTTTTAACCCTACATTCTCAAAAAATTCTCTATTCCAGAACTCATTTTCCCAAACAAATCCATTTTAATGGTTGTCAAACATGGGCTTCGTCTTACTCATCAATGTAGATAATAAATTTCATGCTATCATTAATCTCTTTGAATATGTCGTGAATTCTTTTAATAAACAAGCACTACAATCATGATGAATGGCTAATGAAAGTTTAGGGACGAATTAGATTTCATTTTAGCCTAAAATAGTGGATTAATTAAAAAAAGTTATACAAATTTAAAATAAAAAACTAGTGTTCAACTCTCTAATGTCTCATGCGATGTTACATGTCGTTAACCATTTTTAATAAATTTATTAGTGTGGTTATTCATATAATCGAAACCGTCAATATTACGTTAAAATTGCACGTAAATCATTGATATTTAGGGAAACTTCAAGGGATTTGATAGGTTTGATCTTCAACTTTAAAAGTTACATTTAGTGATGGCAAAGGGGTAGGGCAACTTTTTGCGCCGTTTGTTATCCTGTTTAATTTTTTTTATTTTAGATAATAAAATACAAATTTCAAATGAATTTTTAACGTGTGAATTGTTTAGAAATGAAATTATTTTTAAAATTTTAAAATTCTTTTTTCTTCACAAGGCAGGTTCGGGGTGGGGCGAGGAGCGCCCCGCAATGGAGGCCCCATGCCGGCCCGCCAACCTGTTAAGGATGCGGTAAATTGTCATCCCAGTTACATTAGATTTTTTAACGTATGTATTAACTGGTACAAACTATTTTGGTCATGCGATTATAATCGAGAAAAAAGTTGGAGGGTCTCACTTTAATTTATCTATTTAAAATTCACACCAGAGAGAGAATATGTTCCATACCTAAATCTGTGTTGTTGCTTCTCCTCCAAGAATCATCCGCCCCAAGACTCCTTAATCAGAGCTCCGAGTACTCTCTTTGATCCATTGTAATCGAAACCCGAGAACCCGCCATGGCATACCCTCGAGATCCGAATAGCGACGAAAACGATTCGAATCGCCGACTTTACAATCCGTATCAAGATTTACAAGTCCCAACCAATATGCTATACAAGCTCCCCACCTCTCCAGAGCATCTCTTCCCGGAGGAATCACTTTTGCAGCGCCGCTCCTGGGAGGAAAATCTCACCTACTATAGCGGCATCGGTTATTTAGCCGGCTCCTCTGCCGGCGCTGCCAAGGGCTTTATATCCGGCCTCAAGTCTATCGAGTCTACCGACACGCTGAAGTTGAGAATCAACCGGGTCCTCAACGGGTCCGGTCACGCCGGATGCCAGATCGGGAACCGGTGTGGAATCATTGGCATTCTCTATGCCGGACTCGATAGCGGCATTGTGCATTATATGGGTAGTGATGATGTTATCAATAGTGTGGTGGCTGGGCTAGGCACGGGTGTTCTCTACAAGGCTGCATCCGGGCCGAGGTCTGCGGCTGTAGCCGGGGCAATTGGTGGTGTGCTCGCTGGGCTCGCGGTTGCTGGGAAGCAGGCATTAAAACGATACGTGTCCGTTTGAACTATTTAAGCTTTATCTTGCATTGCTTTAGTGGTTTTGATTATTACTTCATCAATTCTTTAACAGTATAGATACTATCAGTGGTCAGAGGTGCAACTTTAATCATACAAACGAATTTTGGTTAATATACATTATACTCTTCCATGATATTTCGTCTAAGAGTAAATTCATGTAGTAGTAGAAGAAATTGGTTAAGAATAGGCAGAATTTTGTATCATGCACTTCTTTTTCGCCTCTAATTATAATTGCATATAATATTTGCCGTTGGAAAGTTTAACTTTCGCGTAAATATAACCTAATAAATTCCCAGAATTTTCTATCATGCAGGTCTTCTTCGCCTCTAATTAAAATTGCATATACCATTTGCCATTGGAAAGTTAAACTTGCGCATAAATATATCCTCTGAATGATTTGCACTAACTTTAGTTTCTCTGTACATGATATAATGCAAAATATTTTTCATCGTTTGTCAACTTTTCTGTGTTAGACTCGTAGTTTTAGCTTTCAATGAGTAAAGGGATCGGGTGTGCTGGATCGAAAGGAATTTATGATAGGTTGCTCACATTCATACTGTTCTAGGGCTATGACTTTGAAGTAATTGCTATGCTCTCGCAATGTTTTAGTGTTGAATCTGCTTGTGGGTCATATTGATTTCACCTTAATAGGCTTTATATATGCTGTTTGCACTGTACTTGCAGTTCTTGCGAGTATTAATGGTTTTGGTATAAACATGCGTTGAGAGATTAACTTCCTTTTTTTAGTTAAAAATCAGATTTATAATAAATTTCGAAAAGTTCTAAGTTTTATGAAATGTATGGTTGAAAAAGTAGTGTTATGTATTGGGGTTGTAATCTCAGTTTAGGTGGTGCTCTATGATCCATTAAATGAAAAGTGAAGTTAAATGAGTCATTTAATCACTGTGGGGGCTAAATAGCACTACTCGTGGTTGAAAATGAGTTCGAGTAAATGTGAGTTTTGGAGAATGAGGGCCAAACAGGGCTAAGTATAATTAATTTACAATTACCAATATTTCATGGTTTGATGCGCTTGTGTCGGAGTTCAACATCTACACTCTATGTACGCATCTGGTGAGCGTGAGACCAGGGGTATTTTACTGTAGCTGTTAGTTGTTTAGTTTTCTTTGAATCAAGATCTTGTGAAAAGACTTCATGACACTTGTGCGCAAATTCTTGATAAGTCCTATTGAAATGCAATGATAATGTTGAAATACCATTCAAGTCATCTTTAAAAAACTAGAAATGAATAATCTGTGTGAGAAGGTAATATTTAGGATAGTACATTATCCCGTTAAAATGTAATGGTTCTTCGCCCTATGGGATAAATGTCGAGTATTTTTTTTTAGCGTGGCTGCTAATTTTGCAGCTATTCTTGAAAGAATTGAGAGAAAAGTTGTCTTTGTGATTAGAATAATAGTCTGTTGGGGAGATATTTTTGAATGTCACTTTCTTGGGCAGCTATTCTTGTAAGAATTTTCTTTACATCTCTGTTGATGATATATTTATTATCTATCACATGAAATTGCAATATTCATTATGCTAGTGCCATTCACATTGTTGCGTTGAAATTCTATCATAAGAACAAAATATTTAACAAAATGTAGTTATAGCTTCACTATTCCCTTCGGAAAAATTCATATATGCGTCATTTGAAAATATTATTTTAGGTTTTACTGGGCAACGTTTAGAATACTAAAATACTTTCTTGTTTATGAAATATATTAAAAATTACCGACTTCCAATAATAGAAGCCAAAAAAAGAAAATCAAATCAATAATATTAAAAATATTATCTTGTAACTGAAATGTTTTAATACTCCATATTTCACGCCTCCCATTAACACCTCTTCCTAAAAAAGAAAAACAATTCAAAAATCTAATTTGGTTGAAGAAGAAAGGCTTCGTTGATTAATCACACCGTGATTTCTGCACTTGACGAGATAAGAGAAATCATTGTATCTACAACCAAAAATTTCCATCTTGAAACCGGTATTTCACACTCTGAATCAATGTATTTACGGGTAATGTCTCTAAACTGGGATATGTTTTCATGTAATTTATATCTCACTTGTACATTTGGAAATTTTTTTGGGGATTTGGTTATATACATAAACATCCGTTGAATCAGTAGAAGAAAACAAAAAAAAAAAAAAAAAGATTACCTCAAAATAGTACTAAACATTACTCAAATTTGGTGACAGATTTTAGAGTTTGGATGTCATAAATTGTTCTTGTGAAACGTGTCCATGTTTGGGTACTACACAATTTGTGCAAGATCTATGAAATTCAAATACATGGTTCGATGTTCGAATGCGTTGACGTGTGCTTTGATATGTTGCAAACTTACCATGGATATTCTCCTGCATATTGACCAATATCATACGCATGTTTCAGATACGTAGTAGACATTTTACATCCATTTATCCTGACACGATTATATGATATTGGATTTGGAATAGTTTTTAGCTAATATGTACATTGCTTGAAAGAGATTAATTAGGTATCTTAACTTCTGTCAGAAATTTAAATGGGAGAAAGAGATTAAGGTGATGAAGGACTATAAATTAAGTGAAGGGAAAAGAGTGAAAATAGAAGGCTGTGTGTGTGTATGAATTGCAAAGATTAAGTTAGAAATTGTGAAATTGAAGTGCTAACATAAAAGGGAAGATGTGTATGAATGCTTTAAGAGGAAGAAAAAATACAGAGTTTATCCATCATGGCCGGGCCTGAGGCACAGGGGTACTATGGCAAGGAGGCCTGGGCCTCAGGCCCAAAATAGCAGGGTGCTTCATTTTGACTTTACATATATATATGTTCCGTATATCGATGATAAAGAAGTATGTACATGATCCTAATCATGTAGTGAGTTATCAAACCTTGGAGGTACAGAAATATTTGTCGTACGAGGAACTATCGATCAAGATATTGGATCGAAAAGTGCATAAACTAAGGAATAAAGAGATTCAACTGGTTAAGATACAGTGGAATCATCACGGCGTAGAAGAAGCTACTTGGGAAAAAGAAGAAGAAACCAAAGACGAGTATCCAACACTACTCGCCCAATCAGAAGGTAAATTTCGAGGACGAATTTTAATTAAGGTGTGGGGGATGTAGAACCCCAAATAATTCTAGACACCTTAGTGACACTAAGACATGAATATTGGATGACTAAAGTATACTTCAGATTTTTAGTCTCAGTTGAGACCCATTTTCGACATAGGAAACATTCGATTTGAAAAATAATATCTAAATAAAAGTTGTAGCTTTTTGAGTTAACTTTCCAACGCACTTTGAATTACCTCAATCGGATATCAGGAGAAGAAGTTATTATAGAAATACTGAAAGCTGGGCAGTGTTAACCAGACTACAACCGGCCGACCGAAACTGCCTGAAATGAAAATTCTCGTTTTTCTCTAAAATTTAAATATTTATTTTCATCAATTATTTTCTCAAAGGGCTACCCACATTTTTGGCAATAAAAACCCCCCACTAAATTGAAGCATTTAAC